CTGCTCTCACGCTAGTCTTACTTCCGCAGCCCACGTTTCTATCCCTCCAGTTAGCTCGCGCCCTCCTCCGGTTCTCAGGCACAGACCTTGGAGGGCAGCGTGGAAATTGGGTAACTGCAAGCAAGCTGAGGGGAGCTGCACGTTCCCCATGGACGCCCTCAAGCGTGATTCCCAATCCCAAGCCCCCGCGTGCCCACTGCCCACTGCCCACTGCCCACCAACGAGGGTGATACCTGTGAGCCACCGCTCCTCTTCAGGGGCCCGTTCAATCACTCCCAAGCGCCAGTTCTGAGAGGAGCCGCGGAATCGCTGTCTTGGACAGTGAAGGGAGCTGGTGTTGGTAATCACGCTGCAACTAGGAACCCCTGATCTCGCGAACCCTCAACTCACAGCCCGCTCTGAGTTTCATATATTGCGACGGTACAACCTCGGCGCACTCTTGCGCACGCGCACCAGCTGTGGAAGGAACCCCCAGTAGGCCCTGCGACCTGGGTGGGTAAGGTAGATCTGGTCTTTTCAAACCCAGCCCCTTTCTGCAGGCCCCGCCCACGCCTCACTCTTAGAACTCTGGCCCTTTGAATGGACTCACAAGGCGCTTCTGGTGGCTTAAAGAAATGAGCGTCATACTTCCGGCGCTTCCTCATCCCGTCTGGGAAAACGAGTCCAAATCGCCTTTCTTTTCCCCACACCCCATTTGTCTGGAATCAAAAACAATGATAATTTCAACAAGACATTGTCTGTGTCTTACATGGTCTTTATTGGTTTATTAGTTCACAGATTCATTCATTCAGTTTTGTATGGAAGTAAGTTCGTTGTTCTGTTTTGGCTTGTTAAGAATGAGGTACTTTGTGGCATCCGAGAAGCATTGTCAGTTAGGTATTTGGATGTAAGCATCTGGGAGTTTAGAGGTGTCTGGGGCTAGACCTGTAAAATTTGTGTCAATCTGGGTAGATAGTGATTGATGCTATTCATTGGAATAGGATTGCAGAGGGAGAGACAGAGAGGAAGAGAGAAAATAGAATAGAAGGAAATGGGCTGGGATTGGCCCGGGGAACACCAACACCATTGGTTGAATCAGGAAGGCGGACCTGCAAAAAAAAAAAAAAAAGAGAGAGAGGAGGATCAGCCTGAGAGGTAGGAGGAAATCTGGTGGGTGCGGAGACACAGAGGGAAGGGATGTGTGTGTCACAAAGTACAGAATGCTCGGTGACATTAAGTACATGATAATATGATTAGTGCTTGCACAGAGGCATGTAAACAGTGATGTAGGAGCAGAGTGAAAGAACTTAAACCAGAAAGAGCTTTATATTTAGGCCAGGAGTTGACTAAGGTAAAACAAGATGGCAACTTCGAATAGCTAGTGACACAAAAAAAAACAAGGACACACCATATAGTTTCTTTTATTTATTTGTTTTTAAATAGACTTTATTTTTTAGAGCAGTTTTGGATTTACAGTTTTGGAAACATTGAGAAGGTAATATAGAGAGTTACCTTTTACTCCACAACTAGTTTTCCCTGTTATTACCCTCTTACATTATTATGGTATATTTGTTACAACTAAGAAAATAAAAATAAAATATAAAAATAAAAAAATGAAATAACATTGATACGTTATTAAGTCCACAATACTTTATTCAGATTTCTTTTCTTTTTTCTTTCCTTTTATTTTTTCTTTCCTTTTCTTTTTTCCTTCCTTCCTTCTTCCTTTCTTTCTATTTCTTTTCTTTTCTTTTCTTTTCTTTTCTTTTCTTTTCTTTTCTTTCTTTCTCTTCCTTGCTTGCTTCTTTTCTTTCTTCTTTTTTTTGACTGGTTCTCACTCTGTCACCCAGGCTGCCAGGCTGGAGTGCAGTGGTGTGACAGCTCACTGCAGCCTGGAGCTCCCTGAGCTCATGTGATCCTCCCATCTCAGCCTCCCAAGTAGCTGGAACTACAGGTGCTTGTCACCATGCCTGGCTAATTTTTTTTTTTTTTTTTTTTTGTATTTTTTGTAGAGAGAGATTTTTGCCATGTTGTCCAGGTTGGTAAAGACCAGATTTCTTTAGTTGGTTTATTTGTTTTGTTTTTATCTTTTTTCTTTTCTCTGATGCAGGATCCCAACTGGAATATCACATTACATTTAGTTGTCATGTCTCTTTAGGCTCTTCTTGACTGTGACGGTTTCTCATACTTTCTTTGTGTTTGATAACCTTGGCAGTGTTGAGGAGTACTGGTCAAGCGTTTTGTATGATCTCCCTCTATTCGGAGTTTTCTGATGTTTTTCCTGTGGTTAGACTGGAGATGAAGGTCACAGAGATAGAGTACCATTTTTATTACATCACATCACAGGTACAGACTATCAACATGACTTATCCTTGTTGTTGTTCAATTTGATCACCTGGCTCAGGTTGTTTTTGTCAGAAGACATATTTTTTTCTTTCCAACAGTGGCAATGGATGCAGCAATATTCAGTTTCCAGAATCAGCAGCTCTGGAAGCAGTGTCTTGTCCTGATGGTGTTGGCAGGTAAATTATGCCTCTAGTGCTAAATGGAAGTCTTGTCTTCGTAGGACGAATTCTGTGGTACAATTTTGGTCTGTGGTTCTGGCTATATGGCTCAAATATTATTTCAATATTTTTACTTTTAACTTAAATCATGCTTAGTTTCTGTTACTTGAAACTAAAAACCCTGACTGATGTGTCATCATTGTGATGATTTCTTAGTGTATGTATTAAGTATGTTTTCATTAGAAATTTTTAGAGTCTTTCTTTTCCCCTTCCCTCCCTAGCATGGGAAGTAGTGGTTTCATGCAGACAGCTTTATGAAGAAGCCCCATTGGCATCTATTTTGGTGGAATGAGTGGGAACATAATTCTCAATGTGTCAGTAATCCATTGCTGCATACAGACCATTTCAAAATTTAGTGCTTTAAAACAGCAATCATTTTATTTTACTCAGGAGTGTGTTTGAAATGTGGTCAGAGGGGAATGGCAGTTATCATTAATGTCAATATTTAAGATATGACCATGAGAATGAGTAACTGAAATCATTAAAGAAGCAAGGATTAAGGAATCTCAGAATGCAAACTATTTGAATATTTCATTCTATGTGAAAATTAAAATAACCAAGAACTATAACATAGGAGCAGTATCTTTGGGAGAGTGGCAGTGAATCAGGGGCTAGAATCTGCAAGGAATGGGTGGGGGAGTAGCCTAAGCATCTAAAATAAAATAAAATGAATAAAATCCCCACAATCCCACTTTCCTAACCACACCTCATTTCCTCCTTCTTCCTCATGGTAAAACATCTCCAAATGTCTGTTTACATTTTCTTATTTTTCCTCTATTCACTGAAATAGATCTCATCTAGGTCATAACTAGCAGCCAAAGTTACCAAATTCAACTAAAAATTTCCTATCCTTCTCTATATCACCTCAACTAACACGTATCATTTGAATGAAAGTTTTCAGTGATTATCATACCCCAGATTAAAGTTTGCCTATTGTAGTACAGTTCCAGTAAATTTTTAAAAGATAGTAAAAAATGTGTATTAAAATACATTATGTCTCAGTCATTACTCTGGGTATATCAAATACACTCAGAATTGGATAAGATAAAATGAAATAAAAGATCAATAGCTGGTTTTAAAATGTATGTATGTATGTATGAATTAAAGAAGAAAGAAATAAGTACAGCTATGGGATAGCTCTTCACTGGAGGGGACTTCTACACAGTCAATCTGAGGTCTGTGGTTTCTGGACCCCATGTGCATGATGGCTATAGAATAGTTACCATAGAAAACCACCTCTAAACATGTGAATGTTAGAAGTTTAAGTGAAAGAACGAAGTGGCTACCAGCCAGTTTATTTGTATTACGGGTTTATGAGGAACTGAAGTAGACTCTGGAATTGACTATTTTAGAGAAGTTGGGCCACAGTGTGACATGATGTGCAGGCATTGAAGCCTATGGAGGGGTCACCCTAGAATTGGTAAACTCCAATTTCTAAAATTCTAATTTCTCTTTTGTTTTTTAAAGAAATACTCATTAGGTAAATTGGGCTCATTCAAAAGGGGATGACCAAGATGAATACAGGGTACCAAAGCATATTAGATAAAGAAATTGTAAAGAAACTAATGGCAGTTGGCAGAGACAATTGAATTTGGGCAAATACAGAAATTGACCTAGTGTGTTCTGGTACAGAAGAATAACGAGAATTGCTCTAAGACTAAAACTAGAGAATCTAGGTTGAAGACACAGGAAAATTGATTTTGACTTATCATGAGGAAGATCTCTGTAATACTAAAAACTACCTTTATATGAAAGAGAGTGGCCCAATGGAGTAAGGAGCTGTATCATTCCTGGTTAGGCAAATGCTGAACAATTATTCGATAGAGATATTATGGAATAATTTAAGTCTCAGATTATATTACTATTGAATTCCCTTTTTACTCTGATAGTCTATGCTTACACGAAATTTGAGGTGATTATATAAAATTTTGGGGGATTTTCAGAAGAGAACATGAAGAACTAGGAAGTATTATTTTCTCTGATACCTTTTCACAAGCTGAAATGCTCTAGGATCTAATGAACCCAGTATTAAAGATTCTTACAGATACTTTAATTGTTTTAATCAGAGCCTATTCTAAGGTTTGTATGCCGAAGACATACAAACTTGAGATGTCTTTGATGTTAGAATTATGCTTGCAATTTGTATTAGCTGTTATTTCAGAATAATCTGGTTGAAACCTCCTAGATTCAATTGTGACTGTGCTTAAAACATGCCCATGGCAGCTGAATTAACTCCAAACTCCTCACAGTAGCACCCAACACCTTTTACAATCAGGAAATGACCTAACTTTTCATGCTTTTTTTTTTCCTATGTTCTTGTTTAGATCGTAGTATTCAGTTTTTAGAACATATTCATTTTCACACTTCTTCCTGAAATAACCTAATTCATAATTGCCTACTAAAATCTTGCTCCTTTTTAAAGGATGTTACCATAGCTCTAAAAGTCAGACTCAGAGGTTACTGCCTATGAGAGAAGGACTTTCTCTCAGCTAGTTTCCTGAGAGCCCCTTTGACATCTTTGTTCCTCAGGCTATAAATTATGGGGTTCAACATTGGAGTCACCACTGTATAGAACACAGATACCATTTTATCCCGTTCTTTTGCAGTCTTGGAGTTTGGTCGCATGTAGGTGAATATTCCTGACCCACGAAAGAGGACAACAACAATAAGATGGGAGCCACAGGTGGAAAAAGCCTTCAGCCTTCCTTCCCCAGACTGCATCTGGATAACAGTGGAGATAATATTCCAATGAGAAACAAGAATCAGGGAGACAGGGGCCAGGAGAATTACCACGCCCATTGAAAAGATGGCCATTGCTGTGTTGTAAGTGTCTGCGGAAGCCAGCTTCAGGAGGGCAGGAGGTTCGCAAAAGTAGTGATTGATTATATTCTGTCCCCAGTAGGGAAGATGGAAAGTAAAGCTGGTATCTACTAAAGACACTAGTGCCCCACTGGCCCAGGACCCAAAGGACAGCCAGGGACACACCCGTTGGGTCATGATGGTGGAGTAGCGCAAGGGCTTGCAGACAGCCACATACCGGTCATAGGACATCACGGCCAGCAGTGCACACTCTGTACACCCGACCAGAAGAAAGACAATTATCTGTGTCATATACCCATAAAAAGAAATGGTTTTCCTCTTTACCAGGAAGTGAACCAACACTTGAGGGACAATGCTAGTAGAGAAACAGAGATCTGCAAAGGAAAGATTTCTAAGAAAAAAACACATGGGAGTGTGAAGGTGAGAATCCAGGAAGAGGAGAGTGATGATGAGCAGGTTTCCAAGCACAGTCAGCAGATGAATGATGAAGAAAAGGATAAATAGCAGGATCTGGGTCTGCAAGTCCTGTGAAAGGCCCAGGAAGATAAAGTTGGACACAAAGGTTTGGTTTTCTTCTCCCATTGATACTTTTGCCTGTTTACCTGTTTGGCACAAGAAGAAAGAACACATTTTTGTTGGGTCTATGACATCAAATCTTGTAGAAGAGGGTCATGTTAAAACTGACACCTAGTTGAGTATTTCTAGTTCTTTGCTATCGAGCTTGTTCTGATTAACAATAAATGCATATATTTATTGTTATTAATTGGTTGCAATTTAAACCAAGTTAGTTATTTTCCAAATCCTCTCTCCACAGTACCGCTTTTTAATAAAGTATAATACTGTTAAAGCCCTCTTGGCTAGTTCTGATGTAAGGATGTTAGAGTTCATGTGGATTTTACTAACTGGCTATAAATATACTGTTAGGAAATGACTGTATATACTGTTAGGACTATCCTTATGTGGAAAACTCTACCACTAACTATTTAAAATACCACATATTTAATTATAACATATACTTCAAAAGTGTGAAGTGGTTTTCAGGAATCAAACTTAATTGGCCTATTAAGAAGCAACAGACTTTTGCTGAGTTTAAAAGTAAAGCCTTAGCCGGGCGCGGTGGCTCAAGCCTGTAATCCCAGCACTTTGGGAGGCCGAGACGGGCAGATCACAAGGTCAGGAGATCGAGGCCATCCTGGCTAACACAGTGAAACCCCGTCTCTACTAAAAATACAAAAAAAAAAAACTTAGCCGGGCGAGGTGGCAGGCGCCTGTAGTCCCAGCTACTCGGGAGGCTGAGGCAGGAGAATGGCGTGAACCCGGGAGGCGGAGCTTGCAGTGAGCTGAGATCCGGCCACTGCACTCCAGCCTGGGTGACAGAGCGAGACTCCGTCTCAAAAAAAAAAAAAAAAAAAAAAAAAAGTAAAGCCTTAGCTATCCTACAAAGGCCAAACTATTTGGATTAAGAAATAAAATATTAAAATTAAAGCAATACAAAAAGAAAAAATAAGTTAAAATTTTTGTGATATTTGGATAGGACCAGACTTGAAAAACACAAACACTTTCTAAGAAACCATGAAGAAAAATATGTGCAGAATTTGCCACACAAATTGAAAGACTTCTGTGAGATAATAGAATCATAAGATAAGCCACAAACCAAGAAAAATGTTGGAGGGAGATGTCAGAAAAAAATTTAAATAATTTTATTTTTCTTCAACTTTTATTTTAGAATAAGGTACGTGTGCAAGTTTATTACAAAATTTGGAGTACAAATGCTAAGGTTTGGTGTACACATGAGTCTGCAACCCAAGTAGTGAGCATAGTATCCAAGAAGTAGTTTTTCAGCCATTTCCCCCAGCCTCGCTCTCCCCACTCTAGTTGTCCCCAGTGTCTGTTGTTCCCATCTTTATGTCAATGTGTACCCAATGTTTAGCTCCCACTTACAACTAAAAACATGTAGTATTTGGTTTTCTGTTCCTTCCTTAGTTCGCTTAGGATAATGGCTTCGAGCTGCATCCATGTTGCTGTGAAGAACATGATTTCCTTCTTTTTCATGGCTGCATAGTATTCCATTGTGTATATGTTACACGTTTTCTTTATCCAATCCACCATTGATGGGCACCTGGGTTGATTCCATGTCTTTTTTTACTGTGAATAGTGCTGTGATGAACATATAATTGTGTGTGTCTTTTTGGTGGAATGATTTATTTTCCTTTGGGTGTATATACAGCAATGGGATTGTTGGTATGAGTTTAATTCTTAGTTCCTTGAGAAGTCCCCAAACTGCTCTCCACAGTGGCTGGACTAATTTACATTCCTACTAACAGCATATTAGTGTTTCCTTTTTTCCGCAGCCTCACCATCATCTGTTATTTCTTGACTTTTTGATGAAAGCCATCTGACTCGTGAAAGATGGTATATCTGTAACAAACCTACAGCTAACATCTGACTGAATGTGCAAAAGCTGGAACCATTCTGTTTGAGAACTGGAACAAGACAAATATGCCCACTCTCACCAATCATGTTCAACATAGTACCAGCAGAGAGAAAAAAACAAAAGGCATCCAAATAGGAAAAGAAGTCAAATTAAATGACCTTATTACATTAAGAGTTTGTATAAAACTCTATGAAAGTTGTGAAGTCCAAGAAATAATGGGCCAAATATGAACAGACTATTTACAAAGAAGAAATGCAAATAGCTACTAAATATAAGAAAAATATTCAATATTATTAAAGCTCAATAAGTACAATTGAAACAATGAAAGAAATTTTCACTTGGGTAATTATCTAAGATTTTAACACCAAAACCATAACAAAAAATAGCTAGTATATTCATTAAGCATTGAACCCATAACAGCATTAATTTTAGGGTTTTATATGATTATATCTTCCCAATAGCATTATGAGGTAAATTAAAATACTATTAATTTTGTCTTGTAGGTAAGGAAACTGAGGCACAGAAAGGTTAAGTTACTGTCCCCAAATCATACAATTAGCAAGTATAGAATTAATTAGCTGTATAATGAAGGTACAAAAACAGGACACATTTGCAAAAGCAAGTGGTTAGGAAAATTTGTATTACTCTTTCTGGAAAGTAATTTTGTCAATTACAGTAAAAGACTTAAATATTCATGTGTTTTGACCCAGTTCTCAATAGAATATGGAAAGGAAAAATTTGCCCCATACTCAAAATGTAGTCTCAAAAATTGACTTACAGCATGTTTTCAAATATATGTAACTGCAGCAGTGAAAGGGGGCACAACATGGGCAAAATATCGACAATATAAGGGCACAGTATCTATCTAGATGTAATTGGAATTATCAAAATTAGTGAAACAGCCTATTCAAAGAACCACTTCTTCTCCTGCAATAATTTCTGAAATTCCACAAAGAATAACTTATATGTTCTTAGGAACATATCACTGTTAGACCCAAAGTAATGTCTGTCATATCCTCTTTTCCTTTTCTTTTTTCTTTTTTTTTTTTTAGAGGCAGGGTCTTGCTCTGTCTGCTCTGTCACCCTGTCACCCAGGCTGGAGTGCAGCAGTACTATTGTAGCTCACAACAGCCTCAAACTCCTGTGGTCAAGCCAAGTTTCTACCTCAGCCCCAGAATAGTTGGGGCCTGTCATTTTCTTTTTCCCCTTCTCTGGCTGTCTAGGTCTATATGATCACTACTATTTCCTTTGGATCCCACAGATGGTGATTCTTAAAATCATTATCAATAATAATGAGAATCACCTCCCATTGGTACTTACCAAATGTGGTTTTGCTGTTGTCTTAGAGACCAATGCTAATATATGTTTCCAAAATGCACAGAAAAGACTAGAAGAAAAAAGTTTCCAAAATGTTGAGAGTGGTTGACCCTGGGTACTGGAATAATGGGTAGGTTACTTTAATTCTTTTTTTTTTTTTTAATTTTTCACTTTTTAAAAATTATTATTATACTTTAAGTTCTAGGGTACATGTGTATAACATGCAGGTTTGTTACACATGTATACTTGTGCCATGTTGGTGTGCTGCACCCATCAACTCGTCAGCACCCATCAACTCATCATTTACATCAGGTATAACTCCCAATGCAATCCCTCTCCCCTCCCTCCTCCCCATAATAGGCCCCTGTGTGTGATGTTCCGCTTCCCGAGTCCAAGTGATCTCATTGTTCAGTTCCCACCTATGAGTGAGAACATGCGGTGTTTGGTTTTCTGTTCTTGTGATAGTTTGCTGAGAATGATGGTTTCCAGCTGCAACCATGTCCCTACAAAGGACACAAACTCATCCTTTTTAATGGCTGCATAGTATTCCATGGTGTATATGTGCCACATTTAATCCAGTCTGTCACTGATGGACATTTGGGTTGATTCCAAGTCTTTGCTATTGTGAATAGTGCCGCAATGAACATACGTGTGCATGTGTCTTTATAGCAGCATGATTTATAATACTTTGGGTATATACCTAGTAATGGGATGGCTGGGTCATATGGTATTTCTAGTTCTAGATCCTTGAGGAATCGCCATACGGTTTTCCATAATGGTTGAACTAGTATACAATCCCACCAACAGTGTAAAAGTGTTCCTATTTCTCCACATCCTCTCCAGCACCTGTTGTTTCCTGACTTTTTAATGATTGCCATTCTAACTGGTGTGAGATGGTATCTCATTGTGGTTTTGATTTGCATTTCTCTGATGGCCAGTGATGTTGAGCATTTTTTCATGTGTCTGTTGGCTGTATGCATGTCTTCTTTTGAGAAATGTCTGTTCATATCCTTTGCCCACTTTTTGATGGGGTTGTTTGTTTTTTCTTGTAAATTTGTTTGAGTTCTTTGTAGGTTCTGGATATTAGCCCTTTGTCAGATGAGTAGATTGCAAAAATTTTCTCCCATTCTGTAGGTTGCCTGTTCACTCTGATGGTAGTTTCTTTTGCTGTGAAGAAGCTCTTTAGTTTAATTAGATCCCATTTGTCAATTTTGGCTTTTGTTGCCATTGCTTTTGGTGTTTTAGACATGAAGTCCTTGCCCATGCCTATGTTCTAAATGGTATTACCTAGGTTTTTTTCTAGGGTTTTTATGGTTTTAGGTCTAACATTTAAGTCTCTAATCCATCTTGAATTAGTTTTCGTATAAGGAGTAAGGAAAGGATCCAATTTTAGCTTTCTACTTATGGCTAGCCAATTTTCCCAGCACCACTTATTAAATAGGGAATCCTTTCCCCACTGTCTCTCAGACCACAGTGCAATCAAACTAGAACTTAGGACTAAGAAACTCAATCAAAACTGCTCAACTACATGGAAACTGAAGAACCTGCTCCTGAATGACTACTGGCTACATAACGAAATGAAGGCAGAAATAAAGATGTTCTTTGAAACCAATGAGAACAAAGATACAACATACCAGAATCTCTGGGAAACATTTAAAGCAGTGTGTAGAGGGAAATTTATAGCACTAAATGCCCACAAGAGAAAGCTGGAAAGATCTAAACTTGACACTCTAACATCACAATTAAAAGAACCAGAGAAGCAAGAGCAAACACTTTTATTCTTTTCTAAAAGCCCTATATTACCAATATAAGAAAAAAATAAAAATGGGAAAATGTAGTAGTACCTAATTAAGGATGCTGTAAAGTCACTTCTTTACTT